GCGGCAAATGCGTTTGTATTGGCATTATGTGGATGGCTGTCCTTGAGAAGCATTATGCATACACTTTCTGTCCACAGGCAAATCAAGGCATGCTTTTGCTTTACAGGCTCGATGTTGCAGGCCTGGAGTTGAAGTAGGAACCTCGAAAGATCCATGGCTAAGATGACACAAGCCACTGACCCCACCCCCAGGAGAAAACACCCCAAAAGTTGTGAAGGTTACATACCCTGTGTTCCTCATTGGGCGTATTGGAAAATCCAGTGTTGCCACATGCACACCAGGAACCTGGTGATTTGTGATATTTCCTGCATCGCACGTAACGACCAGATGGCACAAACCCTTCTGGCCCATCCGTTTCTTGGGAAATCTCCATAGGGGGGTAACTGTACCTATGTGGGTATGGGTCCACCACTAAACCGCAGGTTTGCTAAGGGCCGTCCTGCAAGGCTTTAACAGCTGTTTGATTCTGAGACGAGCCCAGACCCGAAGATATTTGCATTTCTAGCAGGCGTAATCGAGTCACACAACTTGCTGGTGCTCAGCAGGGACTGACCTTCCGGGTGTTGGGAATGAACAACTCGGGATTTTTCAACTAGGTCCCCCAGTAGTGCCCTTGTACCCCTTTTTGGCGAGGGTTCCCCTACTAAAATAGACTACAGAAAAGGGGTACCCTTATTCTAACCTCTCTACTGGAGGGCCCAGCTAAGACACCAAGTCGGGCATGGCTTTTCTCGGGGGCTGCCCATCGCACCACGGCGCCGCGGCTCACTTGCGCTTATCAGATGAACCCTTAGCTGGTGGTTCCGGATTTGAACCCTTGATGTTAGTAGAGGGAACCACCCCGGAACAGCACCAAACCACTGTTCCTGTGTAGCTACAGGGGATTCATAGTCCTGTAGCCGCTGTGGCTAAAACAGCTGCATATGCCAGTAGGGCCCTTTCCAACGAGACTCAGGCGTTGTCCAGGGAGGAGGAGCTGGGATTCCTCGAAGATTTCGCGAAGCGCTTGGAACACTTGCGTGTGGCGGCAGAGCCATCGGTTCCATCAGCGCGGGAAAACAAAGCGCTCGGACGGATGTTTTGTTGGTGCGCCTGGGGCATGGGAAGCATCTCGGGTTCAGCCCCTTCTAGAGCAGGTGCCATAGTTGACACATGTGGGTTTCATGCACCCCTTGACTTTCGCGGCACTGCCCTTACGGAAGAGTGCCAAAAGAAACTGCGGGTCTCTGAGTCTTTGCGTGTCCGAGCCTGCAGAAACTGGGCGTGGCATCTTCTGGGGCGTATCCTTAGCCCACGGGCTCACTCGCCCAAAGCGAATCGACCTTTCGACCTTTTGGCTCCCATCACTCGGCGGTCACCCTGGTATTTCCAGGTCCCATCCGGGGCAACTGAGTTAGGGTCAAAGGATTTGGTCGTGGGAGGTCAGCATGAGAGAACCCCCAGAAATATCGGCGCCCCGATTTCAGAAGTCAACTTTCCCATGAACACTGGAACACTGGAATACCACTCTTGGTTTGCCTGACACTACTTTTGGTCGAAACCTGCGGCAAAGGAGCAGACATAAAGAGCGCCCCAATAGTTCGTAACAGCAAAGCTTTCAAAGCAACATGCAATTTCTATTCGCACAGGCCAGACAGATTTGGAAGGCAGTGCTTGCGATAGCTGTGTGCTAAGCAATGAGGATGCTCATTGCTCCATGGATACCTGTACACTGCTTCCAGACTGGGCCGGGGCACCACCCCACACAAATGACACAACCCCACAATAAAGACCACCAGCATCGGCTATCTAGAAATCCAGGCATGTTGCATCTGCAAGTTGTACTTTTCAATGCACTCTCTTTTCCCTACTTTCCTCTCCTTTCTTTTCCTCCTCGCTCCAGCCTCCCCCTCCCCCCAACTCTACCAATTCTGGGAGGAGGGGGGGAACCGGTGTCCATATTGGGAACCAAAGCTCCATGGGTTCTGAGTGCTCAGAGATGTCTTTCCATTTCCCAAACCCAAGGATCCGCTCTACACGCACGGGGCAAGACGCGGCAACACGCATCTCAGCGGGTGAGAGGAGCGAGAAGCGGTCCACCTGTCGGTCTAGAGGGTGTTCCGTGCATTTTGGAGTTGATTCGGATTCAATTTGTGAGGATGTTGGATCAATGCGGCTTTGGCATTTTCAGTGTACTGACTCTTTGCGGCGTGGCATCATGTTGCGGTGTTGCCAAGTATGGCGCAAGTGCAATGGTCGCATGGAGTCTCAGTCGCAAGTCATGTTGCCGCTGGCAGGACGCCTTTGCTCGTGGCTTGGCTGCACTCAAGTTTTTTCGGCTTGCGCCGCGTTTGGAGCTCACGCCTGCCCGGCGAGCCGGGGGACAGAAACGGCATTTGGTGAGCCACCAAAGCCGTCGAACTCACTTCCGGAGTTCCTGGGATTTTTTTTTTGGGTTGAACACCATTTTGGTAAACAACAAGTTTGGACTCTGTTTGGCGAATCCACTCAGGAAATTGAGACCATCCCAAATATTGTGGCGGGGGGGGGGGTCGTTAGGCGTTCTGCGCAGGTCGGAAAGCGGCATCCGCGGAGACAAGTCAGCAGATGCATTCCAGAGCCCCTTTGCCCAACTGAATTGGGTATGAATTTTAAACAGGGACCCTGTGATGGACATCATTTAGGTGGGGATTCATGTCCACCCATCACTTTTGAGGTGGTTCCCTATTAGAATTCTTGGCCAATTGAAGCGCAGTTGAGAACATGCCAGCCTGTGAGCTGTGCACGGTTTGCACGGGTTTATCGGTTTATCTCCAAGTGGCCGTGGGGTGGGGGGAATGTCTTCGGTTTGTCCCTTGAAGATTCGGTTTTCCTTGAAGCTACCGCTCCTGACTCATGACACGAGCAGCTTCGGCTTTGTCGATGCAGGTTACACCCTCGGATTCAGGTGGTACTTGAGCGGTGCGGATTTGCCTAGAGTCTCCTTCTGACCCTTTAGAAATGGGTCAATGACCCCATGAGTTTGGGTAATGACCCCATTCTTTAAGGGTCAGAAGGAGACTCCAAGTTGGGGACGGCGTTTCGACAACTTTGCAACCAGGTGTTCAAAGCTTTGCCCTAGGCATGTCACCGGGCTGAGGCGAAGAGTGGAGATGACAGAGCTTCGTAAGCATCTTCAGGCTGCGAAACACTGATGTGCCATACATGTTTGGCACGTGGGTGTTGGTTAAGACCGGTTTGGATCTGAACTTGACTTCGTTTCTGCTTCACCATGTCAAGTTTCGACTGGGCGGAAGCCGAAAGGATGCCCTGGCAAAAAACATGAAGTCAAGTGATTTTTTCAATCAGGGATATGTTTCAATCCAGGTCCTCTCAGAGCTGGACTCCTGTATAAACAAATTGTGACCTACTGCAACAAAACTTGCGGAAACTTCCAACTGCACTCATTTGCAGAGATGTCCTTTCGGAGGGTCTTCTGAGAAACTTGGTGGCATTTACAGTTCTAGGGGCAGTTCCTATTGCTTGAAGGCCTTGACAATTGGGATATGTGGCCATCCACCTGTTGCTTGAATATCTTCCACTGCAAAGCCTTTTGGCATGGAAATTCGGCTTTCATTGGCATTTTTGTGAAATTCAAGCAGGGCTCTCTTGAAATCGCCCCTCGCCAAGAAAAAAAGGCCGCGGCAGCCTTCGCAAGCTGCGTTTTTTTTCTCTTTTTTTCTCGTGTCTCGTGGCAGCCCAGGATTGCCCTCCATGGACAGCTTGAAGCTTGAGATGCGCTTCTCAGCCCAGAGCCTCGTCTACCACTTGCCCAGCCACAACACGCTGCTGCAGGCAGGAACTCGAAACCTTGGGGCGTGGGTCGCGGATCGGGACGGGGAAGCATCCGAGCCCTGCGCCCGGCTAGCTGTCCTTTATTTTCCTCCAGTACCTCCACTGAAGAAGGAAGAGGCAATCGGGAATGAGCAAAAACCGGGAGTTCCAAGTGCATCCATTGATGTCATCCTATGCCACTGCATGCTGGGCCAAGAAGGGGCCCTGGCAAATCAGTTGGATTTGATGTTCAGGTCGTTGCAGTGGGTCGTTTTCTAGGGGTTGATTCCCCATTCTTTCAACCATCGTTCTTTTCAAAAACCGGATTCGTTTTCCCTGGCATTCCGGAGGTTGTCTAGAAAAAAACATGCCTGGAAAGAATGGGATTGGAAGTTACCCCTCGAAAGCTGTGTTGTCACTCTTCAGTTTTGTTGCTTGACAAGATGTCTTGGATGCTGGCCTAGGGGCGAGCTTTATCCTTCCAAAGTATCGGACTGTTCGGCTGACTCGGCTCGAGGGACTCAAATCTCGCAAGCGCATCATGGGCTGCAGCTCCAGTGTAGCCACTGGTGGGGTGTCACCATCCGAGTCGGAGGAGGTGGGTGCCACGATGCATGTCTACACGAGCACCTGAACTGCTATTGGGAGTTTCCCACTATGGAAGTTTCCCACTATTCCTGAACTGCTGTTGGGTTGGATCTTTCGACTTGTCCACTTTTTGGTTGAACTTATTTGGAGTTTTCCACTCAACCCCCAGGAAGTTGTTTTTTTTTTTGCAGGGGGGTCGTTGCAGCAAGGCACCGGCACGGTGGAGACCAATGAGTCCGTGAGCTATCGGGAGCCAGACGCCAGCTTCGTCTCTATGGACTGGATTAGTCCCTCGCTCGATGGCCCGCCCACAGCCACGAGCCACCAGAAGCATGTGAGGAGTCTCAACTTCTTCCTCAAGCGATTCTTCGTGGCATTTTGCCAAAGGATGTTAAAGGATGTTAGGGCTGAACAACTTTTTTGCCAAGCATTTTGGAAAAGGATGTTAAAGGATGTTCTGAACAACTTTTGGCCAACTCATGGGTTTTCGTTTAAGCATCTTTAAACCACCAAAAGTTAAAAACTTTGAGCAGGGAGCAGAAATCAACCGAGGATTAGAGGTCGACAAAACCATCCTCAAAGACGAGGTGAAGCTACGCAGAATGGACGCACCACTTTGATGGCTTTCAAGATTGAACCGCAACTTTGATGGCTTTCGAGTTTCGAGCTTCTTGTACAGCTAAAGCTCTCAATTCGAGCCACAACCGCTCCTCCTGCCACCCAGATTGGCCGTTGCGCGGCATTGCGCGGCTGTGAGGCAAATTCTTGTTTCAATCGTTCTTCCGAGCTACCGTCTGTGATATACAGTGGGCAGCAAGGCTTCTTTTCAACGATTATGCTTCAAAGGGGCTCTCCCTAGTGCACCGGGTTGTTCCCAGAGTGTTGAGGTTCAGCAGTTCAGACCTTCGCACTCGCTAGTCACGGCCCGGGCTGCGAGTACAGGGCACGTTTTTGGATTTGAAGTGGCTGATTGCTGAGGTGCTTCTGGAGAAACCACCTAGCGCATCACTACGCATCATTCAATATTCAACATCTTACCTCTTAAAAAAAACACAACTTTTCAACTTTTTGGGTAACATGGGCTATATGTCTGTAAAAGATTAACTTCCCCAGGGCTTGGAGTTTTAAGGGGTAAGACATGGTCATGATTGAGTGTGGTTCTCCGGTTTTGTCGGGGTCAGCCGAGGATCCCAAGGCATAGGAGCCGTGTGGATAGCATAGCTCCTGCCTTTCAGGGCGCAGGTGCCATCGAAGTCTCCGAACGAAGGGCGTTCGGAAAGAAAAGAAAGAGAGGAACCAACGGCGCTCGATCCGAGGAGTGGAGGCGATTGAGCCAGAGCTCCATACCCTCTCGACACGGTTTCTTCCGTCCGAAAAGAAGATATGTGTTATTTCCCCCTGTTGGTTTTAAAGGTAACCTATGACTACTGAAAGTAGTTCTATCTTTTTCAGGGGGCTCTAAACGCAAATGGAAGGTTTGGTGCACAGACCCCTGTAAGACGAGGTTCCTCTTGGGGCTTGGTGCACCGACATGTTTGGTGAGAGGGTACCCTCCAGAAGAATCGGTTCACATCCGAATCCAAAGCGATCCAAAGGAAGGGTAACCTGGGAGTTGGACTTGAAGAAGTTTTCTGGGGTCTTCCATTTGAGTGGCCAGCACAAGTTCGGATACTTTTGGGCACCCACTCATGAAGGTGGGGTGCCTGCAAGGGATCATGATAACTTCAATGGGGAGACCCTGTAGCAACTTCACGCTCCTGGCTCTGGAATCCTTGCAGTCGCAGCCGCCCCTTGAGGTTCGGTTCACGCAAGCCCCCAGAGATTGCTTTGTGGCCTGTGACAGTGTGAGTTGGCAGTGCTTGACTTGTCGCTTGGCTTGGTCGAGTAGTAATTGCCCATGCGCAGGCTGGATCAGAATTGCCAATGTCCACCAGTTGCCTGACCAGGGTTTGTTTCCAACGCAGCTTTGCGTCCCTCACCTGCCGTTGCCGACTCCGGCCGGCACTTGCACATAACAGCCTGTTCTGGGGGAAAATGGGCGGGCTTTCTTCTCAATCCCCGAGTTCGCGGACTGGATTGCTTTGGCCAATCCACTCTCAGGACGTGAGTTCGCTAGCTACGCCGATAAATACGCAGATCATTCTGAAAGCGTCGAAGAGTAGGCTGCAAGCACTGGAAAGTGCGAGACCCAAATGTAAATTTGAATTCCCTGAACCTGCAGCTCCGGCCCGGCATGAAGGCTCATCTTCCACTTGCCGAAATGAATATGTTGTTTACTTTCCCTTGTTGGTTTTAAAGGGAATCTGTCACTACTGGATGTATGTCTCTTCTTCCAGGGGGCTTAAGCTTTTGCCGTGTTCAGAGATATCCTCAATTTTGCTTCCTTCCTGCACCTGCCTCAGCTACCGACAGCTTGAAAGCTCTCATGATCCAAAAAGCAGCCCTTGATGGATCCCGCCCCATGCCATTCCGTGTTTTTCTTTCTGAGGTGTTTCTGAGTTGCAGGCTGCAAGCTTTTCTCAAGCGGCGGGGGGCGGGGGTTGGAAACCAACGAAATTGGTCCAAGCCCATTTCTCGTTCCCGTTGGACCCCAACAAAATGGGTGCAGATTCGGAGACGACCAAGTTTTCAGTACTTGGTGGCTCCCAGCACTCCCAGCCATCCCCTTAGTCTTTTTTCCTTTTGGCGTTTAGTGGTAGTTTCCATTTGACCCACCAGAAGTTAAACTTTTCGTGGGGGATCTGAGGGCCTCAAAGATTGCGCCACCAAACGCAGAGAGCTTTGAGAGGCTGTGGTTTGGCACCTGGTGGTGTGGCTGCTGAGGGTGCTGCAGCTTCTGATGCCGCTGCGCCCCGGGCTGCAAGCCTCTGTCGGGACATCCGGAAGCTCCGCTACATATATGATGGCATATCCCCTACTCCAAACACCCGTTTACTAAAAAAGGAGGTAGTTAATGTGGAGAACTAGGTTTTGCAAAGAATACCTATTCACACATCAGCATTCCGTAAAGGCCAAACTTTCGTCCGCGAGGTTTGCAAGTTTTTTGAGCGTGGGGATAGAGGTCTCAGACCATGGAACCGGCCAGGTCAGAGTTGAATGAAGATAGTCCAAACCACCTCGAAACGTCGGGTTCCATGTGGAGGGTAGGGTACTTTTGGAATCCTTTGGTAAAGTTCTGCTCAGTGGCTTGAGTTGACTGGTCGACAGCCTTTGGCACTCGCCACACGGTTTATTTCAGCTACATCTTGCGCCCTAAAGCGTGCGTGTGCTTCATGCTTCCAAGTTTCTTTTGCGAAACAAAAGTCCAGGGGATGATTCCCCATTCTTTTAAACCATCGTTCTTCTCAAAAATTGGAGCCGTTTTCCCTGGGTTTCTGGAGGTTTTCTAGAAAGAGGGATCCCTGGAAAGAATGGGGGAGGTACCCCTAGAAGAAGGCATCGTAGTACATGTTGGCATTTTTGCCCACGCAACAGGACAGGGCAGTCATTGGGGCAGTCACTTTGTCATTGTCTATTAGCATATATTGGCATGTTCCAGCAAGCAATCCAAGCTGATCATAATATGTGCGAAGGCTGCTTTCTTTGTTCAGAAGTGGCATGTTCCTCATATTGGCTTTTTGGCACCGTTTTAACCTGCAGCTGCCACATGGTTGGCAAGCGCAATGTGAACGGAGGAAACGCTGTCCCTCCAGAATGGCCGATTTTAATTTCGCCTCCCTTGACGCAAGCCATGGATGCCTTGTGCCACCACACTGCATTGGGCATAGCGAGTTGCCAAATGCTTTGCTCAGGTTCTACTTTGTCATCAACAAGCCGTGCCTGAGTGCCAAGATCTGAGAATCGCTAAGTCCGGAAGGGCTGAAGGGCCAACGGGCATCAACCCGGACCATTGCGAAGGTGGGCCCTCCCAGTTCTTCCGCCAAGCATACGACATGCCGGGTCCATCTGCCGCAAGAAAATGCGACTCTGGAGTCTTTGCCTTAGGTGAAGCTTCCCACCCTCCAAATGGACACGGCGTACCGTTTTTGTTGTTTTTTGTTTTTTGTTTGTTACGCAGGTTTTCGTCCGCTCGGAGGCGCAAGGTTGCAAGAAGTCATTGAGCTAGCATTCTTTCGGTGGCAAGATGTGTGGAACCGAATGTAACACATATTTTTGAAGCCAATGCGATATGAGGGGACATCTTTGAGACCAGCGGCACAATGCATGATTCGTATGTTGTTGCTATTTTGTTGGATCTTTCGACTTTGATTTTTTGGGAAGTCAAGGGGTTTTCCAAGTTGAACCCACGAAAAGCTATTCACTTTTGGAGAGGGGTTGTTGCCACCAAGAGTCTTTCAAGAAATGTTGGCCTCAAACACCACCGTGGACATTACTCATCAGGTTGCAGAAGAGCCTCAAGGTGCGACAAAAACAAACACACTTCACGGCGACCTCACCAGGGCCATCTGGTTTGTCTCACTCAGATCCTGTCCAAGAAAGCAAGCATTCCTTGTGGCCTAACGGCAAGCAAAGACGGCATCCCTTGTATTGTGTCTGCAAACGCGCAGATCCATAGGGGCCTTAAGGTCTATGAATTACATCACCATCATATTTGGATTCGTTTTGGAAGGAGGGCGCCGTTCGTTTTTTTTTTTTTGAAAAGCGCAGAGGTTGTCAACTGCAGCTCAAGCACACAATCTTCCAAGAACGTTGTTTTGCTTATGTCTGGGCACACATGAGGGGAAAGGGTGTTTGTTTGGCCTAGCCCTGGCACAGGGCTAACCCTGGCAGGTTGGTTGGTTGGTTGGTTGGTTGGTTGGTTGGTTGGTTGGTTGGTTGGTTGGTTGGTTGGGTGCGTGGGTGGGTGGGTGGGTGGGTGGGTGGGGTGGGTGGGGTGGGGTGGGGTGGGGTGGGGTGGGGTGGGGTGGGGTGGGGTGGGGTGGGGTGGGGTGGGGTGGGGTGGGGTGGGGTGGGGTGGGTGGGGTGGGGTGGGGTGGGGTGGGGTGGGGTGGGGTGGGTGGGGTCGGGTCGGGTCGGGTCGGGTCGGGTCGGGTCGGGTCGGGTCGGGTCGGGTTGGGTTGGGTTGGGTTGGGTTGGGTTGGGTTGGGTTGGGTTGGGTTGGGTTGGGTGGGTGGCTGGGTGGCTGGGTGGCTGGGTGGGTGGCTGGGTGGCTGGGTGGCTGGGTGGGTGGCTGGGTGGGTGGCTGGGTGGCTGGGTGGCTTGGTGGCTGGGTGGCTGGGTGGCTGGGTGTGGCTGGGTGGCTGGGGGTGGCTGGGTGTGGCTGGGTGGCTGGGTGGCTGGGTGGTTTGGTTGGTTGGTTGGTTGGTTGGTTGGTTGGTTGGTTGGTTGGTTGGTTGGCTGGCTGGCTGGTTTGGTTGGTTGGTTGGTTGGTTGGTTGGTTGGTTGGTTGGTTGGTTGGCTGCCGCCTCAGTAGGACGAAGGTTTGGGGTAGTCTGTTTAGGGTAGCTTAAGGCCCGGCATCGTTCAATCATCCTCAGCATCATTTTCAACATCCTCAGCATCCCCAGGCTTTGGTTTAGGTTGGGTTTGGGGTGGGTTCCAGGTTCGCTCACGCTTGGCTCCGGGTGGGTTCCAGGCCTATTGAGAGCAACTTTGGGGGTGGCTGCGCTTAAGGTAGATA